AAACGTTTCACTAAAGAAGAACCCATCCAGAGGACCTACTTATTTTTTCTTTTTGGTCTTGTTGGGAGGTTATTACWGAATACTACTGTTCCTTGTTTTAAAATATGCATGATATATGTTCATGTTGGTATGTTTTGGATTAAGATGGTAATGCGTGGCTTCAACTCATGAACACTACATATTTAGCACCCAGCAAGATGACAGCTGAGATTCAGTGCCATCAATGGTTATTCCAGTGTATCTGTTTTTCAGGGATACTAATTATTATTTTTTACGTATTTGATGTTTACCTACAGCAAAGAGTTTAAGTATCTGGGTGTCTTGTTCACGAGTGATGGTAGGATGGATCGACAGATTGGAACCTTGTTCTCAGTAATKAAGGTGTTGCTTTGGTCAGTCGTGGTGAAGAAGGAGATGAGTTGTAAGCTCTCGATTTACTGGTYTGTCTACGTTCCAAYCCTCTTCTGTGGTCATGAGGTGAGGATCATGACCAGCTTGTTTCGTAAGGTGACCAGGCTCAGCGTTAGAGATAGGGTGAGGAGGTCCATCATCCCGGGGGAGCTCTGAGTCGAACCACTGCTCCTCCACATCAAAAGGAGTCAGTTGAGGTGGTTCATCTGATTAGGATGCCTCCCTTTAAAGGTGTTTAGGGTACGTCCCAATGGTAGGGGGTCCCAAAGAAGACCCAGGACTTGTTCTCTGGCCTGGGAACATCTTGGGGTCCACCAAGACGAGCTGAAAAGTGTCCTGGTTTCTCTCCTGGACCTGCTGCCTCTGTGATCTGACTATAAATAAGTGYTATTCCTTGTTTCTCTAGGTGTGCCCCGGAAAGCCTCCGTATCGGCTCCTTCTCCCATGCCTCAGACGTCTGGATGTTTGGAGTCACCATGTGGGAGATGTTCACTTACTGCGAGGAACCGTGGTTCGGTCTGTCTGGTCGACAGGTACACACTTGTCACTGTCTCATTATCGTTTTTGTTGTTTTAATTGCTGCCAGTTTTTTTTAATGTTTGGAATGTGTTTCCCTGCCCTCATGCTGTTACTGTGACTCAGAGTTTTGGTATCACGTCAACTTATTCCCCGCTTGTCAGATTTTGTGGCGTGTGGAGCGGGAGGGAGAGCGGCTGGAGAAACCGCCGGATTGCCCTCAAGAGCTCTACATCATCATGAGGAAGTGCTGGGCTGTCACCCCTGCCGAGAGGCCCAGCTTCGCCCAGCTTTGTGTGATGGTGGCCGAGGTTTGTGTCTCCTCAGTGACAAAATGTTCAGAGGTACATCTTTTTATTTTTWACATATAATCCTTCTCTTTCCCTAAAGGCTAAACCGCTGGAAGTCCAAGCCACAAGAGACTTCGCAGAGCTCAGAAAACTCCCGCTGGCGGCCAACGACGTGGTGACCGTCATAGACCACGGGTGGGTGAGGCAGGACGAAGAGCAATAGAAACGACGCAGTCAACCTTTGTCGAGATGAAACAGGGATTAGATTCAGCTTTCGCTCCAAAATGCATTCCAGCACTAATCTCAGCGAGTCCTCCAATGCATCATGCTTTGTTTGTTGAACAGGTTTAGCAGCTTTTTCCTCTGGTCTCACTGTGTGGGTTTTATTTGAACAAATGCATCAAGAGTCGCAAAAGAATTATGGTCTTTTAGGGAGATGTTTACATTTTTAAATATATATACAAGACAAAACAACATTCTATAAATGCTAATCTGTAAATATTTGCAAGGTCTATAAATAAATACACATATTTCTCTTTAAATAGAGAMCCTGGTCTTTTTTAAAGTGATAATCTGTCAGAGTAGTTATTGATAAGATCAGCCATGACATCACACTCGGAGCATGAAGTGTCTTCCTTCAGGCTAGGCTAATTGCTTAGCCTGGCTAATGGCAAATTTACCTTATAACATGGATGTTGTTTGCTTGATAAAACGGCTAAAAAATGAACAGTATCAGCTGAAGTGTTTGTTTGCATAAGAAGCATGCTTTCACAAAATTATGTCCTTTATGAGAAACAGTTGTATGCCAAGACTAAAAAATAGTATCAGACAAGCTAACCGTTAGCTTAGCTCAATGAAGACTTCTTCCATTTTATTCCTACTCTGCTCTCTATGACTGATATTATGGCTGATACTTTTAATAACTGAACAGAACATTATTCAAAAAAATGACCAGACCATCCCTTTAAAAATGAGTTACGAAGCATTTAGACGAAAGCTTTGTAGTACAGTAAAAANGTCACCTGCCTAAAGGCGTGATTAGAGGTGGCTTCAGCCAGGACACGCAGGGGCGTGGTTCCCATACATGATGTTGTACCGAGTGAATTGACTGAAAGGGAACCCAAACTACCACCTTTCAGGAGTCACGTTCTTCTCTTAAAGTGTGAGGACAAGTTCAAGTTTACAGTATAAACAAACGGTTAGCCTGTTGATGAGTTAAACTGATAGTTCASATCTTTTAAAGTGGGGTTTTAGAGGTTTTGGACAGAATATCTTACCTGTTAWAGAGCAGCAGGGTGAAGAGCTAACGGCTAGTCTGAGTCGGGCCAAGAACAAAGTGGATTATTTAGCTTCAAATCTTTGGTAAAAAACAATTTATGTAAAAGTGTTCRTACTTTTACAAATTATTTTTACATTTTACAGACAGAAAGCACATTTTATGAATCTGCAACCAGATAGATTCTATTCTACAGCTTGAAAAKGAGCGGTGTAACTCTTTAAAGATTGCAAATAGTCATTTTTTTTGTCTCCGTCACAAATTTCAACCCTTTCTGTGTGGTTTATCATGTTACCTAATTAATATAAAGTTGAGACAGAGTGTAAATATATTCACTGGTTTCTGTTCGGCTTTGAGCTTCTCTTTAAATTGAAACGTTTAAATAAAACACTTTCAAACTTTTTTCTGTCCAGTCTGGAGTTCAGCGAGTGGCGCGGTCAGAATCAGAGGACGCTGGTCGTCGGCCTGTTTCCTGCCAGTCTCACCATTCCCGCCGCCACCCCCAGCAGCAGCAGCAGCGCGGGGCCCAGTCCCGTTGCGAGCACTRCCCACATCTYGGCTCCGGTGAAGGGCAGCCTGCAGCACACGGGGCACGGAGACACCCACCCAGACCGCACCTGGGGAACACCTGAGAGGCTGGATGAGTCAGTGGTTCWTTTATTCTGACAGTGTGAAACACAACACTGATCCTTCACCATCTGTCGGTCGGTGTTTATGAGTTCAACGTGTTTACTTTTGTGACATTWGCAGCGGCAACTGGAGGACGGCCCATGGCAGGGAGAGGGAGGGGAGCAATCTGCAGAAAATGGCAGGTGGGAACTAAAGAAAATAAAACYGTCGGCAAAATCTGATGAACTCCTGCTCGTCAACACTTTCTATAACTTTTCCAYATTCCACATTAAAGCAGCGTCTCATTGTGTCTTCAGGGATGTCTCAGAGCCTGGAGTCGGTCTTGGGCGGATCCCGCCCCCGAGCTCACACGGTTGGGGCTTTTAGAGTGGATCAGCACGGCAGACTCCTGCCTCCAGTGATGGGGAATCACAACGTGATGATTCAGCAGGATCCTCGACGCTTCAGCGAGGCCAGCATTGCTCCGCCTCCTCGGCCCCCGCTCCCCAACATCAAACGCCTGAACATTAAAGCCCAAAGGAAACCTGTAGTCCTGCCGGCCTCAGGCCCCTCCTGGCCTAATCAGATGATCCTATCCCCTCCGGCACAGACGCAACCTCAGAATCAGTTCTCGCCTCCTCAGCCTGCCTCGGGCTCCAACCTGATGAAGATGGCCCAGCTGGCCCGTTCCTCGCCACAGCTGGACGGGGACATCAAAGAGAGGGATCGAGACCGAGTGAGGGACAAAACGCACTACGCCCAAATCACGAAGGAGAGCATCGTTTCACAGGTAGAGGACTTGTTTTATCAGGATGACACCTGGCTGACTGGACTGACTCACCTGTTTGTGGTTCTGCTCAGGTGATGGAGGCGGTGCATGGAGTGACCACCGAGGAGGTTCAAACTGCACTTCAGCGTAACGACTGGAATCCGGTGCGGGCCGAGCAACAACTCAAGGTCAGATACTGAAACGTCTGGAGACCTGACTGAGTTAGAACCATTTGAGTGATTTCTAAAGGCCGTTAGCTGTGGCGGTCATCTTGAAGTGAACTCACTAAAAGCTAACCAGTTATAGATGTACGTCCAATGCGCCCCAAATCACAACTGAGCCAGTTGTGGTTTTGACAGATTTGGGCCATATAAACCAAACCACAACTGTGCCAGTTTGGGCATTGACAGATTTGGGCCATATAAACCAAACCACAACTGGACCAGTTGTGGTTTTGACAGATTTGGGCCATATAAACTAAACCACAACTGACCCAGTTGTGGCTTTGACAGATTTGGGCCATATAAACCAAACCACAACTGGGCCACTTGTGGCATTGACAGATTTGGGCCATATAAACCAAACCACAACTGGGCCACTTGTAGCATTGACAGATTTGGGCCATATAAACCAAACCACAACTGGGCCAGTTGTGGCATTGACAGATTTGGGCCATATAAACCAAACCATAACTGGGCCAGTTGTGGCATTGACAGATTTGGGCCATATAAACCAAACTTCAACTGGGTCAGTTGTGGCATTGACAGATTTGGGCCATATAAACCAAACCACAACTGGGTCAGTTGTGGCATGCCATCTTAAAACCAGTGATGTCTTTGACAGACCTGGCCCACATCTGGTTGACAAATCACTTGCCATGCCAGCAGTGCCAGCTTGAAACCAGATCTGGCCCACACTTGTTTGCTATGTGGGAGATTTATTTACTGTGATTAAAGGAACTAGCTTCTAGCTACTTTAAAGCCTATATTTTTTAAACAAATAACTCAACATTTTTAGACTGTTGTTGTATTTTGGCTCTTCATAGAGCAGAATCTAAACTTTTGTTTGCCGTTTCGATTCTTATGTCTGAGTTTCGTTGTCGTGTTTCCGTCTCCTCAGGTGGAGCAGCTGTACTTACTGAGCCTCTGCTCCAAAGAGGACTGCTTCAAGATCCTCTCCAGACACCAGTGGGACCTGCAGCAGGCCAGCCGCACCCTGATCCGACTGTCTCGAGACGAGAGACCCGGCCCCAGTGACAGACCTCAGATCAGCGCAGAGAGACGAGTCTGAGGAACACTTTAAGCTGATTTTATGTTGTTGTTGTTGTTTTTCCAGCTCGTGGATGTTTGACTGCTTCTTTATTTTTTAAGCAACGTCCCTCCTTCTGGTGACTGCGACATGTGGAGTTTCCTTACACAAACTGTTTCAACATCAGAGCCGCACGGTGCCAAACACAGCAAAGAAAAATGAAGGAATGTGAAAAATCAAAACATTTTTTTTAAACACAGGGTTTAACAAAGAACTGTTTTTTAAATACTTTTACAGTTTACTCTGCATGTTTTGTAAGGATTTGTGTAWAATGTATAAGAAATAGATCCATTGAATAAACTGACATTAAATTTTGAAACAKAACATGCTTTGTCTCATATTATACTGGAAAATAAGACAAAGTGACTCATTTGTGGGCAGATACATAAAATTGTGCAAGATTATTATAATGATGTACAAAAACAGTCTTCCGTGTTTTTGGCAGGTAAATATAGAAACAGAAATATTTTCTTTGATTCATTTAAGCTGCAGAAACCAAGAGCTGATGTGTGTACTGATGCAGAAATTAACAGTTTTTTTTTTTTTACAGCTCAGGCAGAAGTGTAAATATTAGCAAGAAGTCAAGTGGAATGGTGACAACCAGCAACATATCACAAAACTGTTTCTTTCTTTACAACATAGGATTACATTTTAAATGAATTTATTTAATTTTATCATCTAATTCTGCCACACGACCATGTTCAGACATTTTCCCCACACGGGGAGGATTCCCTTATTCTTTATAAAATAAAAATTTTTTTTATTAATATACTGTATAAGCATATGATAGTTTAAGTTTGTGTTGGCAGGTTATGCGGAAAAAAAATTAAATGTACTTTTTAATGTTCTGGGTAAAAATGAATTGACTTGAAGCAGTCCTGCTAGGAGTCATTTAGTCAGAATATTTTTATCATGAGTCGTCTAAAACAGTGCAACAGGGCCTTTAACTATTTCAGCAGTAGTGGGCAGCCTAATCTAAAAATTAGTTCCACTAACCCTAAAACACTAACTCAAATATTTAGGTCCCCTAATTATAAAGCACTAMTGCACTGAAAATTTTAGCAAAAGCTAATTCTAAAGCACTAAAATAACCCACTCAACACATGGAATATTCTTCAACAAACATGAGTCACATGTTGCCATGTTGCTCTCTTAAGACTTGACATTCCACAGCCTTTTTTGAGTTMATATTGTCACCTTGTGGATAASTGACACACATATGAACAAAATGTGACAGCTTTCACCCTCAGCTGTTAACATTAACGTTGATCAGTAAAATTTATAGACCTCAGTGCTTCTAAATTTAGCAAGTGCTAATCCACTAATAAATTTTAAAATKAGCAAAAKCCCTAAAGCACTAATCAGGAAATTAGTTCCCCTATTAGTGTTTTAGGGGAACTGTGCCCACCACTGTTTCAGCTTATAGCGGRGGTGCCCAAAGTGGGGACCATGGGCCAAAATTGGTCACCTAAGTCCTTTGATATGGCCCACTATAAATGTCAATGATTATTAGGTTGTATTCTCCAGTCAGCCTATAGAAACCGTGTACTTGCACTTACAGCCGTCCATTGCCTGGTCTGATTACTATATAAGTGGTCRTAGTGCAGATMGTTTTCACTCATGGTGCGCACTTAATCTTTGAATTACATTAAGATTAAACATGAAATACAAGTASTTACAAGTTTATATTCAATTTAAGCACACATGCAGATTTTCACACTTT